CTGCCAGATGGGGTGGTACACGTATGTAATATTAGCACATCAGAGGCAGAGGAAGAAGGTTCATGAGTTTGAGGTCAGCCTGGACTAAATAGCAAATTTCAGACATGCCTGGGCTACATGATAAGATACTGTTTCAACAATATCCAGAAATTGAGCTTTCGTGTTGGTTATAATTCTACCTCTGCTATTGACAGGTTTAAGAATTTGGGAAATTCTACATTTCTGATCTTCAATGTGTACAAAATTAAGAGGTTAGGCTCTGCTGTGGAACAATCTTTTGTACACAGAGAATATTTGTCACTCTCGTTGGTTTAATGAAGGGCTAAATGGCCAATAGCTAGGCAGGTGGAGGTTAGGCGGGATTTGTGGACAAAAAGAGAGCAGGATGAAGAAGGGCAGAGTCACCAGCCAGACACAGAGGATGCAGGAGATGAATAAGCCATGCTAAAAAAAGGTACCACCATGTGTGGTAGAGCATAGATAAGAAATATGGGTTAATTTAAGTTGAAAGAGCTAGTTAGTAACAAGCCTAAGCTATTGGCCAAGCATTTGTAGTTAATAATAAGTCTCTATGGCAATTATTGGGGAGCTGTCAGTCCCGATGAAAAACCCTGCCTACAAGGCTCGAAATTCCCTTCTAGCTCTAATAGCTAATAACTATTTTTATTTAATGCTTATTCCTCTATCTGCTTTCAATCTCTACCCCTACTGGGCCAAGTTTCTGCATTAGTATGAACCCACTTCTCTGGGACTGTTCTCACAGGCCTCATGCTTTCACCCATTGGTGCCAACTCCTCCTCAGAGAGAAATTCTAGAATGTACCAGACGATAACCCACCATTGTTTGCCTTACACAGCTACACAAAATGCTTGAGACAGTAAGTGCATAAAGAGGGAATAATCCATTCTCATGGACAGTTTTGGAAGCTCTGCTCTAAGACCCACAGACCCATTGTCTGGGGGCTGGCTCTGGTGTGCCTGGCAGACAATGATGGCAGGAAGTGTGTGGCAGAGCAAACGGCTTATGACAGTGCTAACAAGCAAAGGCAGAGGCTGTGGTCTGACCTAAGAGCATCTTATAGTCTTCACCACTTCCCATAGTGCCACTCCGGGACCAAGTCTTTAACATGTGGACATTAGGGAGATACTTATCCAAACTATAATACCACCTACATTGATGCTTTCTTTCACACACTCTTGGTTTCTGGTGTCCTCTTGAAAGCAATATCTTTTATTTTTCTATTCTGGGTGCTGTACTATAGCTCCTCTTCTATATTTAACTGAACTGAACATCTACCTATAAATGTCCTACAGGCCTCTCCAATGTTACCACATTTCACGTTGAACATATCTGTCCCAGCTTGTCCCTCCTATTCCTTTTCTGAGGTGGAGTCCTGTTTGATTGTTTTCCTCTAGATGCATAATTTCCATCCCTTCTTTTTTTGTATGATGAACATATTTAAGGTGTCAATTCCTCATGTCTCACCTAATAGGTACCATGGACTCCTCATCCACATAGTGGTCCATTTTCCTCACAACAATTATGAACCTGAAATGCAAATCCAATTATTTCATTTTTCTTGCCTAAGGCTTTTCAGGTGCTCATCCTTGTCTTCAAAATAATCTCCCCAAATCTCATTGTCAAGGCACATAAGTCTTCCTACCCATGAGTCATCTTGGCACCTGCTCTACCACACTAGTATTCTGACACCCCATTCAAACTTAGCTCTAGCCATATCACAGTACCTGATGTTTCCTAAATAGGCCATCCTCTCTCATCCTCAGGGCTTTGGCCTTGCTAATCCCAGAGCCCATTCTCTCTTCCCTCTTTATCTGAAACAAGTATCCTTCAGGAGGATAAACCTTTTTATGTGCTGTGAAGCCTCCTCAGACACTCCAAGGCCTAAGTGTACCCCTGTGGTCTAAGTGTACTCCCTGAAGTCCCTTTAAAATGGCTTAATGATGTCTGTCTTCTCCACTAGACTGTTACTTCTGGACAGATACCGATGGGCAGCCTCAATACCTGGAACTCAATAACACTTAGTGACTGCTTTTGAATAAATCTCATGATAGAAGCTGGTACTGTACAAAGACTTCTTGTTGAACTACCATCCCTCCTTTCCTCTCCTTTTGTATGCCTTCTTTAAAAGTGAGCCTCTATGTTACAGGATCACGAGCGTGTTATAGCATACTTTACATTTCTGTGTATTATTTATAATACATATAATTCTACATAAAATGACCTAGTTTATTACTTGTTCATAGGGAAGACACTAAACCCATAGAACACTGGATACCTTCTGAGCATAAAGTTTGGGGGCAGTTCTCTTGGCTTAAGGTAATGACAGCAAACACTCATGTGCCACATCCTCTTACTTCCAGGTCAGAGCTGGAAGATGCAGGTAACTGTCTCCTTTCAGAGGAATGATGGGAAAGGAGAACAGGTGCAGGGAATAAGTGGATGCTACATATTACTCTGTATTTCTAGTCCTATGGTCTTTCCACTTGATTATAGGGATAGAACCCCTAAACACCTGTCTTGCCTCAGCAAGATATGGCTACAAAAATTTAATGAGCACATTTTTATTGGAAATATGAAGGACAAGAGAAGCACCAAGCCTTCTCTGCCCCAAATTTAATGAAATAATACAAGTTTCTGTCAGGACCAAAGGAAACTCAATTTCTCAAACTCCAAAAGGCAGTCCATATATCCAGAAATGAGCTCAATCTGGACTAAAGGAGGTTTGGGGGCAGTCAGATAAAAGTTACCATTCCTCAGGCACTTGTGAAGCTGGTTCTCCTCTAACAAAAGGAGTCATTCTCTTACCTCTAACAGAAGGGACATATGACTACCGGTGGCACCTATCGGCATATCAAAGCTCATGCTGGCCTCCGGGCTCCTTCAGTAGCACAAGCACCCATTACACATTTCAAAGTCCATGCTAGCATCCTAGTCCTTACCTCTTCCCCTAACCTAAACTCCCTCCAGCTCATAGGCTTCCCTCCACTCAGCTGCTCATTCTCCTTATAACCCTGCTATTCTTGCTTTGTTTTTCTCTCTCTATGCTCTGGTTCCACTTCTCTCACCATGTTTCCTCCATTCTCCATCACCTGCTGTTCTTCTGTCTCTTGCACAGTCTTAACCTTGTTCAGTTGGCTGGCCATGTTCAGTCTACTTTCTCTCCCTGGTCTGGACTCTTCTAGATGTCCTTGGCTCTCTCTCATATGTACAATAAAAACCTCCCCCAACCATAACATGGAGGGTCATGTCATCAGTTTACACAGTTCCTGATTCTCTTTTGTTAGGACTTAAGGGGTCAGAACATGCACATGCATTTCTCATTACCTGCCCCATTCAGAACATTGGAACTAAACTCATTTTCTGGAAGGTCTGCTACTGAGGTACTGAGTACCTCACATCTGGCAAAAGTCTTACCAGTTTCAATCTTTCTTTCCTTCTGGAATTCTAACAGATTTGAAATGTTTTAGGATCCTATTCAGCTTCATTTAGTTTAGTTTAGTTTAGTTTTTGTCACATTCAGACACTTGGTTAGTTTAGTTCCCAATTTAATTTGCTAGCATTTTCAATTTTTATGTGATGGCTCCTTGCATGTTAGGGAAATCACATAAAGAGGAGGAACTCAGTTCTGCAAAAACTAAGTGTAATTCTATAAAGTGTGTTTTCCCATTAACCTAAAAGGACCTCTACTTCAACACGGAATACAAGTTTTTTTTTTTAAGTCATTTGACCTAAAGAGCAGAAGTGCTAAGAGAAGATCAGTACAAAATAATACATTTAGTATGGCAAAAAAAAGTACATGGAATGCCAAATTGACGAGCCCCCAGTCTTTAAGGGCTGACTCATTCCTTTGTTCTGCCCTCCTCTCTCTATTCCAGTCCTATTCTAATTTCCAGCCAATTATATTTCATCCGCAATTGTTCCAGGCTCCATTCTACGGAGGAAAAAGTGGGGTGCAGCTGACTGTAGAGGTACACTCCCCCACACCTTAGGCACTTGGCATTGCTTCATTCAATGTGGTGTGGCACACAGTAGGTCATCACGACCCTGAAATGGTCAAGCCTGGGTGAGTTTGAAAAGACCAGTCAAGTCTCGGATTATGGATCTCCCTCTACTTCACCTCCCACGTCTCTGGAGTGGAGGTCCTTGGCCTTAGATAAGTCCTGGATATGCCCTTTGCTGGGCCTGCACACAAGAGGCACATGCTCGGTCAAGCTGCAGGCTTGTTGCTAACCGAAGGTGACCATCAAAATCTCATCTTCTCTGGACTATTTAAAAACAAACAAACAAACAAAAAGCCAAACAAACAAAGAGAAGAATGCACACTCAGGCACAGGGCAGTAGCCAAAGCCTGTGGGCTGCTGGGACGGATTGTAAACTACAGGATTGGGTGAGGTGTGGGTTAAGGAGGTGACAGCTGTGGGTTTGCATGGTGAAAGGTAGAGGTGATGCTGCGGGACTACCGGGCTGCAGGGCTGTAAGGCCGCGTGCGACTGTGATCTGGAGGCCTCCGTGGTGCCGGGCTGCACATCGCGGGGCTGAAGAGCTGTGGAGCTGTGGGCTGAAGGGATGCAGAGTGCGGGTCTGCGTGCTGACGGCTGGAGGGTTGAGGGGTGCAGAGCGGCAGGTTTGCGGGCAGCAGAGCGGTTGCGGGGATGCTGGAGGGCTGATGGGCGGAGCTTGGCTGCGGGCTCAGGAGCTGCAGGTTGGAGGGCTGCGGGGTGGAGGGCTGCGGGGCGGAGCTTGGCTGCGGGCTGGAGAGCTGAAGGGTGGAGGGCTGCGGGGCGGAGAGCTGCGGGGCGGAGCTTGGCTGCGGGGAAATGACGTGGTCAGCCCCGCGCGCTCGCCCAGCCCTGAGCCGCGCGCCCTGGTAACGGCGCTCCGCGGCTCCCGCGTCCGCGGCCCCGCCTCCCGCCGCTGCAGCCCGCCCCGTCCCCGCCTCCCTCCGCAGCCCCGGCGGCGGCGGAGTCTCGGGGCCCGGTGGCCGCTGCTTGCGGGACGCCAGCCGCGCCGTCGCCAAGCCGGAGGGTTAGGGGGACGCGGCCGTCGCGGGCAGGAGGGAAGGCTCCGATCGCCCCGACTGGCGGGCGCGGGCCGGCGGGTCGGCAAGCGGCCACCCCCCCCCCCCCACCACCCTCGGCTGTCGCCTGCCCCGCGTCGTCGCTGCGCCAGCCTCGCCTAGCGCACGGGGACAGGTGCCCCGGCCGGGGTCTGCCGGGAAGATGGCGACCCCGGGCATGAGCTGGCAGCAGCACTATTACGGCGGCTCTGCGGCCGGGGCGGCCAAATTCGCGCCCTCGCCGGCCGCCGCGCAGATGGCCGGGCACAGCATGGACTACAGCCAGGACATGCACCTGAAAATGAGCAAGAAGATCGCCCAGCTCACCAAGGTACGGGGGTCGCGGGGGTTCGGGGCTCACCTGGCGCCGGGCGGAGGCGGCTCCTAAGAGAAGCAACAGCCAGAGTTGCCTCCTTGGCCCCGCCAAACTTGGGTGGAACGCTGGCCACCGAACTTGAGCTAGACCGCACCCCGCACCGCGAGGTTTCCAGGGCTTGCACCCCGTTGCCGACTAAGAGTCAACCAGCATAGAGCTTACCAGGGCTTACTTTCCGGGTTCCACGGTAGTAAATGGACTTTCCTGTTGCTCCGGTGTCTCTTGCCAAGGGCTGCACGAGGTACCGCGCTATGAGTACCCGGTGAAGTACTGGACCCGGTTTACCTAACATGACCCGGAATCCTCGGAGTTAATCAGTGGCTGCTCCTGGTTCCCACAGTTAACGGGAGAATAAACTTCCCGAGGTTATTCCGAGGACTGTAGGAGGGTGAAACATACCTTGCGTGCCATTTTAGGGATTTAATGAGTCATTCCTTACTTACCCTGACATAATGTCAAATAAGGTTTATTAGATGAATCACACTGTGTTTGCATTTAGTAAATGGTTCAGCTGATCAGAAGATAGTTTTCAAGAAGCCCATAGATACATCACCCGCACAGTTTTCCAACCGTAGTTGAGGGTGGTATGTCAGTTTGTGAGCTCTTTTTCTAATTTAGTAAATACTGATAATAAAGGGTGGGTCCGTGTAGATCTTACTAGCAATATAGCCCTGAGTGGAACTGATTTGTGGTTTCTGGAAGTCATTCGCTGTGACCACCTTCCATAAGACTGTTGCAGCTTTGAAGAGAGAAAGGTGGGTTCGCTGCTTGGTAATCTCCTGAGAACTGGCTCAACTCCAGAGCCCCATCATCTCATTTTACTAGAGTTTAAAGAGAGGAAAGGGAATGCTTGTGGAAAGGGAATAAAGCCAGGGTAAAAACGGTAAAGCATGTGACTGAGGATACAAAGAAAGATGCCATGAAAAGAATAAAGAATGAAGAGATGTATATAGAAGCATAGATTTAAAAAAATAAACAAACAGAAAACACGTGATCATGACTTAAGCCAAGCCAAGCAACACTACCTTTTGTGGAGTGTCTTGCTTGCTTTTTGCATTGTCTCTGCTCTAAGCACCATCTCAGAGATGCTGCATGTGCAAATTGTTACTATTTGCTTTTGTGAAGGGTCTCCAAACTCAGAACGGAAGGTGTAGGATGTAACTATAGCTACATGTTATCAGAGCATTTACAGGGTTGGAACTAAAAGCCAGGCCTCCCCAGTAGTTCCATCTTCAGAAGGCTAGTGGCCATAGTGAGGCTCATGAATATTTGTTCTGACTTTTTTTTTTAATGCTGTGTCCACAACATCCCTTTTCTTATTTTAGATTGTAACTCTTGGAAACTCTTGTAACAAACACTCGTTAAGTTAGAAGTGGGACTGTGTGGTATTTAATAAAAGCTGTTTTCTTGAGTAAACTTCTCCTCTTTCTACTCAGACTTAAATTTCCTGTTCTGTTATCAGTAAAAGCAATTCAGCCTGGCTGGCACAGGTGAGATATTAAGGACATGATCATATCTCTTTCTCGGTCTCTCAGATGTAATGAACCAGGTGCTGCTGGCCCAGCGCTTCCGTGACTGCTGAGCCTTGCCTGCATTCTGATTTCTTGTTTGTAGTTACTGTTTCTAACACCCAGTCTGCTTGAAAGTGCTGCCGCCATGTCATCCCTTGTACCAGGGTTTCTCGGTGTAACACAGTTGACGTTTTAGATCGGAGAGTTCCTTATTAGAGGGCTATCTTGTGCAGTACAGAGATGCTTAGCAGCATTCTTGCAAATTGTGGGTGCAAATTGCACATGCCTCTGCCCTGCATTTAGAAGTGACAATACACAAGTCTGCAGACATTACCAATTGTTCCCTGTGCTGGGTAGTGTGGGAGTCGAGTTGGTAAGGGATGATTACCATGGAGTTGTACTGAAATGCCTAGGAGTCCCCCCACCCCCCACCCAAGGCTGACCTTTATATTTCCTAAGATAAAGCCTGTCTAATAACAGTCGAGTAACAGGGCTCCTTCACATTCAGTCTCACAAACCCTAAAAGGCAGTGCTTCCCTTATTTATCACTTTAGAAATCATCAAATTTTGTAGTCACATTGATAAGTTTTGCACCCTGAAGACCTCTCTGCCGACTCAGCCAACCGAATCAGACTGAATTGGAAAAGCCCAGGTTTAATGGGTAAAGCGTTCGGGTGATTCCCCGCCCTGCAGAGAGGAGACTGGAATGTGAGACCAGAAGAACCATGTGTCTGTTTTCTGGGATACAGCCTAATATACCCTGTGGGAGTGGTCTTGAGCCTCTCTGGGGGAGGAGCTGTGTTTGTCAGGCTTTGAAGGGGTGAGTTTAGGGAAAGAGACTGGGGAGGGGAGTTGAGGTGGATCTTCCACCAGAACATTCCAGAGTCTTTGGGTATAGGGATGCCAGGGTGCCAGGGGTTGAGGTGGAGCGCCCACCCAAACACACATATACGTCATAAGCCAGGTATCATGAATGTGTGTATAAAAGGATTGCTAGAAGTTTGACATTCCAGGATGTCTGCTGTCTGAGGTTGTCGTAAAGAGTTGACTAATGAGTTCATGTCAGTCAGAGGTAAATTAAATAGAACTATGGTTGGAACTTGATTTTGGCTTGTGTTTCAGAATAGCATGTTGTAGAGGTAACCATCAGAATAGGGACTTGGGGTCAAAATGGGAGCTCTGTTGATAAAGTACTTGCCCGTGCAAACATGGGTATCTGCATTTGATCCCCAGCACCCACATAAAAAAGCCAAGTCCTAGCCAGGCGGTGGTGGCGCACGCCTTTAATCCCAGCACTCGGGAGGCAGAGCCAGGCAGACCCATGTGAGTTCAAGGCCAGCCTGGGCTACAGAGTGAGTTCCAAGACAGGTGCAAAGCTACACAGAGAAACCCTGTCTCGAAAAACAACAACAACAACAAAGCCAAGTGCTGCAGCATGCATTTTAAATCCCAGAGCTTGGGGAGCAGAACCAGGAGGACCCCTGTGGCTTTCTAGACAGCTAGTCTAGGTGATGCTCAAGTTTCAGGTTCAGTGAGAGACCCTGTCTCAAAAAAGAAGATGAAGAGTGATTGAGAAAGACACGTGATATCAGTCTCTGGACTCCATGCATATACATATGAGTATAGAAATGCACACGCGCGCACACACACACACACACACACACACACACACACACACACACACATACACCACCACCATCACCACTGCCATCACCACCAACAACCAAAAAGCTGAAATGGCCTCTTACCAGTGTTACAGAAGCAGCATGATTAAGAATGTGTGTTGTTGATCTCACACACTTATCTTGAGTTAGAAAGCTGGCTCCACCACTTACTTAATAGTGTGTGACCTCAAGCAAGTCACTAACTCCAAGCCTCAGTTTCCTAGGTGTAACAGAAGGAGTAATGGTACTTGGAGAGTTGTAATGGCACATATTGGGCTCTTAATTCATGTCATCACTGAAAATATTTATGTACCAACAAAGTATAAAGAAAATATGAGTAAAATATTTTTAGACATTTTTAAAGGAGTACTTTCAAGTTTAACTTATTTTTTTTTTCTTTTTTAAAGACAAGGCCTCACTACATGATTCAGACTCACCTCAAAGGAACAGTGCTTATGAGTCCTGGACTCACCGAAGGGCTTTGTTCTGCGTTTGATAGCATTATTGATACTGTATTTAATTTGAGAGTTTTCTACTCAACTCTATTTAAAAAATGTATAGCAGATCTTCTATGGAATAGCAAAATTTCAAGGCTTCACATTCTGCTTTGCTGTTTGGTTCTGCAAAGCATGCTCCAGAGATTGGACTAGCTCTGATAGGAAATAGAAGAAAATTAACTACTTTATAATGTACCTGGCGAGGCTTCTCTTGTTTCTTTCCATTTGGTCCCAGGGATCACACCCAGGGCCTTGTGAGTGCGAGACCAGCACTCTGCCTCTGAGCTGTATCCCCAACCCTTCAGCCTATTTTTAACTAATGAAAATACTCACTGTATGAATATTTGCTCAGATTCTGTTTCCTAAGAACCCAGCAGGGCAGCCTTTTCCTGGTGAGAATAGCAATTCTTAGAGCCCGTTTAATAGATGGGGATTTTACCAAGTATTAGAGCAAGCGAGAGAGAGAGAGAGAGAGAGAGAGAGAGAGAGAGAGAGAGAGAGAGAGAGAGAGAGGAGAGGAACACAGTCTCTGCTCCGTAAGTCAGGAATATTTAGGTCGTTTGTGTCAAGTTTTGCAAACGAGTGCTGAATTTGAATTGCTGGTGGATTCGCACGTTGTGGCATGTTTCTGAAATTGTTAATGACTGGCTTCTATTTTGATGTGTAAAACCCCCTTTCTGTACTTCTGTATGTTGAGTCTTTAGAGTCTTATGTAGAAAAGCAGAGCTTGGGAACGGGAAGCATGAAACAGCCTTGCTGTCCCTTTCAACTCTGCCCCTCTCCCGCATCCATACTTTAGTCCCTTTAAATTGACGTCTTAGTACCGGATCGTCTTGGGCCAGGGATGGACTTGATTTTTCTAGTTGTCCCTAGATACTATAGCTCACTCGCCAGCCACAGAAGTCTCAAGTCTGATTATTAAAATGTCCAGTGACATGCATACAATCCCGAGGGCAGATGCAGAGGTGAAGCCGCTTGTCCTCGCTCCCGCCAGGGGGGGAGGTAGGTGACTGCGGAAGGGATTCCACAGGCTTCTTTGCTTCTGGCCTGGTTTCTGCTCTTGCCCGCCCTAGTCTCCGATCCCTGTGAAGTGGCACGGAAGGAAGGGAAAAGCTAAGTTCCATGGAGTCTAACTCTGGTGCTTTCATAGCCTTGGCAAGTGTTTCCAGCTCATCTTCACCTGTGGGTCCTCCACCTCCTGCCTCCTCGGTGGCTTGAGATTTCCGCTTTAGCCTCCCCAACCATAAAAATGCATCTGAGTTCTGACTGGTTCCCTGCTCAGC